GAGACGGAAAGAAGAAGAAGGCAAGGCACAAAAAGACAAGAGCCGTGAAAAGGCAACCGCGCTGAGAAATGTACATGTCCTCAACTATGTCAGAAGTGGTTAACGCATCCGATTTTCACTTGGGCGGGCGTGTAGCGACGGTATCTTCCCCGTTTTCGTGCGCCTGATTGTAAATCCACCACACCGTGTATCTATGACGCTCAAAGACGGATCACGGCCATCAAAACAAACCATTCAGTGACAGGGATCGAGTATCATTTCTCATAAACCGTCACACTTGCAGGCACTCAGTTTCCGGTCCAGTCCCGGCCGGCCTTGAGTGCTTTGGCCGCTCGTAAAAGCCGTTCCCACCGTTACTGCATGGCCATGTCCGTTCCATGTCCGTTGTCATATGCCCGAAGAGCAGGCGTCATCATAGACACGAATTTATTCCCACCCCTTTGGTTTGGTGCCGCTTTATCTTTCCCCTCTCTTGACGGCCCAATGATCACTGAGCGGGCTTGACTTGGCCCATGGCTCTTTTGGCACCTAGTTGAAGGTAAGGCGGTTGCATGGACGATGGTGCGAATGCAATGCGTTACAACTCATTCAGCATGATTAGCATTTGATCCAAAAATGCCATGTATAGAGAATGGGGCAAGAAGCACTTGTTAATTAGTGACATACTCCTATTTCTTTTCGTCATGTAGATCCGTGCATGTTCTGGCAAGCAGTTACGGCTACGGTGTACCATCTGGTCGTGTCATTTGAAGCTATACTTACGTCGTGCTGGAACGGTACGGTGAGTGAGGACGGTGAGGTGGCGGACAATAAACTCTATTGGTTAATGGTGGTCGGGAATATTTTGTTTGAACGCGGTGGGCGAGCGCCTCGCACATCCATCTAGTCAGACATGGAAATAAGGACAATGAAGAGGTTCTATGTGGACAGGGTACCTGAGGACGGAGAGGAAAATGTCGGAGTAATATCTACAGTACAATGCGAATATGACTACGAAATGAAGACGTGCTGTTAGGAATAGAGAACCTGGCTGTCAACGACCGCGAATATTGGAGGCAGTTTTCTATTGTGAGAACCACGGTCCTATTCCGCCCTCCGTCAGAGATCATTTAGAAACCGTAACTCTGACCTGAATCCTTCAGTCTGTCAGCTATCATGCAAGTTGGAAGAGGCTTACGTATAGCTACCGCCATAATTAGTAAGAAGAAAGACGGAAATGAAGAGGACATGGTAGTAACTGCGGAGTGGGCGCAATGCTCGAAGTGGGTTCTTGGGTTGCCCCTGTTTGGTTGCCTCTTTCTGCTTCTTTAGCAATATTGAAGTCAGCCTCGCCCGGTTGTCAATGACACAAAGTATGCCAAGAAGCCTTGTGGGCAGAGTCTACATGTATTACGATATATCTCTCCATTTAACCAACTACTCATTCAGCATACAATGTAGACGCAGACATCCCTAAAGGACTTGGTACCTTCACGCCAGTACAAGTGCTTGTAGTCATTGCGCAAATCGCTCGGTAGCTCTTTGGGTTGTATGCCGTATCCGTTGTCATGCGGAAATTGATTCTTTGGCCACAGCAAATGAAGTACGGCTCAATGTAGCGCCTTCAGTATATGGCATGCTCTATTTTAGACATTGATGGCCAGTTACGGCGGGACCAGTCAAACCAAATGAGCTTGAGAAGCAGCGATAAGCCATGTCACGATGTGACCCTGTCATGTCTCTTCTTCTTTTCTCTTAACCACCCCAGCCGCTCACACTGCGTTATGCCTGGTTGAACCCAAAGGTCGTGGATACAAAGAGAAGGTCATCGTTGTATCGCAAGATAACCGGGCGGGTAATCGTCGTCGACTTAAATTACAATTCTTCTTAATATTTCCCACACGCCTTTCGTTCACCGTTATGATCTTCTGAACTTTCTAGTAAATCCCATGTGCTTTCTGAAAAGTATGTCCTTTTCAGTCACCTCACAATTAATTACAATGTACTTCAACTGAACACTGCATATCTTCTGCTTTAACAAAGCATGCACTTAGCCATATATATATATATATTACTTAGAACCAGGGTTAAATCTCATGTTTTATTAATTCAGCTATTATAAGCTGCGACTCACCTAGATGTAGTAATAATTGGCCCCAGGTGCCAACTGATGTAGATATTATATAGATGAAAGAAAATTCTGTAAATATTAATTCATAGGTAGGTAATAGTAAATGTATGCGCATGTCGGGTGTTTAACGCCAAGCGCTTATCAGAGAAGGCTCATATCGTCATCCAGAAAAATGCGCACTCAGACAATATTCGTAATTGAGTATATCAGATTCTACATGCAGGAAAAGATATATAAAGGATCGGGAAAAAAGCAAGAGGAAGTATATGTATATACTGAAAACGAATTGGCTGACTTTTGGAGATAAGGAGAGTTTCAATTATACAGCAGGCCAACTCTCAATGGCTCTTAATGCGCTGGGACGGTGAGAGCATCATCGGCCGTCCTCCCGCAATCCGCCGGCTCTCGGAGATTGGGTCCGTACGAAGTATGGAGTAGCACAAGTATAGACAAACCTTATTGTTACCAAATTAAAAGCAAATATTGCCTTTTGCGGGTACCAAGTACTCAAAATCGCATTGTGAGTGATAGACACTCCAAAAGGACAAGATTTCGGGTATCAATGGTAGCATTGGACTCGGTATGCTCTCACCGCTTCGAAACTCTCATCGCGGAAAACGGCCCCCGTAACCCTGACAACAATGAAGTTGGAATAAGCTTCCTGCGAGTCATCTAGAGCGCAGTTAGCTGCCGTTAATACGGAGCACCAGCATGGCCTTTCGCGGAAGCTAATGAAGAGACCCAGCTTTTCATCTCCACCGCCCCCCATGGCGAGATGCTGGGCTCGGTATCTTTTTCGGCAGGTCGAGATGATCGCGAATGGAGTTGGTGATGTGCTCGGGAAAAAGGATATTCTCGCCTAAATGCCGCAGAGCACACGTGGCAATGTTATGTATGTATGTCTTGCTGGCAGTAGAGGCTTACCGAGTAGCAGCCGCAGTCCAGTCATTTGGCTCACTCAAAGCGTAAAACTTGCCCTAACCAGCAATCGGCCGATGTTGGGATTGGTCACAGTGTGACGGAGATTATGCGCTTCGCAACGGACGTTGGAGCTATAAAGGGGACTTGGCAGTCGTTGTCGCGTGTAAACGTCGAGTGCCAACTCCGTCGAAAACGCGTTCCCCTGCGACCGAGCGATGAGAACCAACGAGGCTCCGTTCTGCGAAAGTTGTCCTAAACACGCACGAGTAAGCATGGATTCTAACGGTAACGTAACATGAGGAATTTGAGGATACTGAACTTTGACACCGTGCGTTGAAACTGCTTGCATGGCATTTCTAAGCACGATGGAACCTACAAGGTAAGGACTAGACACTAAGGTCAACCCACTGACGCGGCAAACGCGTCTGAGCTCAAGGAAATCCCAGGATTATCTTCGTCTTGTTGGCAGATAAACGCGAAAAAGAAACCATACGCAAGACTGTAGGTGTATCTTGACTCAAAATGGATATGAAGATGAAAAGATGAAAAAACGTAAACAGGACGCGCCACAGAGGTGCTTCAGGCAAGGCACACGTAATGTTATGTTGAGAAGCCCCGGCGAGGCTGAAGCAGCTTTGGTGCCTCAGGCCTTGTGGCCGACACAAGACCATCAGGCGACTGTACAGAGTGAACCCGCTCGGCATTCATTTGACGCGAAAACTTCAAATTTCAACGTTTGTTTCGGCCGGAATGGCTTGGGACCCGTTGAGACCAGGGGTTAGATCCTTCGTAAGCCGGGGTTGGTTGTGCTTGTCCTAAAGAAGAACAAGGAAGAGAAAAGAAGAGAAGAAAAGAAAAACAAAACAAAAGTCACCCGACGAGAAGACGGTTCGCGTCCACAGTCCCACTACGGAAGTCAGGCTTCATTTCCGGCGAAGGTGTCGGCTCTCACCGTTTTGCCGCATGGAAAAAATCAACAGGGATTGGGAACAATACCGGCCGGAGAAGAGGGACAAAGAGGGATGGCTGGGCACCTTGGCCTATATTAATTCTGTGTGGGAATTACGTGAACATGTATGGGAAGTCATACATGTTCACGTAAACGTGTATGAGAGTCATACACGTTTACGTAAGTATGCTGGAGAATGCCATCACTGATTTGCACGCCACGAAGCCCATACAGAGAGATGCCAAGACGGGGAAAAAGGAGAACAGCAAAAGCGTCTATAATCTCGTCAATTGTTCGGCCGGAAATGTACTACTAGGTACCTAGGATGTCATGGGGGTGTGAATAACAGCCGGGCTGTCTCGTTGAATAGTGAAAGTCGGCGACGGCCAATTCCACTGGCTACCGCAAAACAGGTCATGAGGCGATAACAGAGCCTGATTCGGCGGTGAAGCCTCTATTTGTTTGGACCACGGGCATGGAGTACCCGTGATTTACATGCATGCAAAGATGAATGTCATGGATGTCAATTGACGCTTCAATCCACCATGCCATTAACCCAAGCGGAGTTTTTCTTCTCAGAGCTGAAAAGACCAAATTGTCAACTCAGACCGGGGGAGGGCTCAACTTGTCCGGCAACTGCCACGTCGTATCGACTGTCCTGTCCGAGGTACTCCACGATGGTTTACAAGATCAACCTATACCGGCCGAAACGAAATTACACACACAAACAGTTTGGCGGAGAAACAGAATTGTTGGCATGTCAATTAGGTGTACTATTTAGGTAGGAATTACAACTAGTATTTAAATCCGATAGCGAAAGCCTAAGTAAATCGCAATACTAAAAAAAAACTTTTTTCCTCCTGGTAGTCGTTTTCTCAATCATTCTACCCCCTTTTGTCCATTCGCCGGTATATACCGCCGTCATCTAAGTAAGCGATAAGAATGCCGCCCTATTGTACTTCATAATCCGTCATAATAGTATTGTGTAGCCGGTAATCGCGCCTCAGATAGTTGTCATCGTCAATTTGAGTCGGCGTCGATCATCTCGATGTCGTCCGTTTCGTCATCCGTGTCGTCGTCCATATCAATATCATACATGTCAACGTCGTCCATGCCGAAATCGTTCATGTCAACGCCATTCGGATCAACGTCACGCAGATCAGCATCGTCCAGATCAATGATCCTCGTATCCAATGCATCTCGATGTCGGCGTTCACGCTCCTTATCCATCCAATAGACGACGTGAGCGGCGAGTTGTTGGAGCTGTTGGCACAACCTGAAATACATAGGTCAATATCAGGAGCCCCTAGAGAGGAATAGAAACCTTTGAGTTACTAACCAACATAAAAGAGTCAAGAGCCTAAGTATGTAGACAGCGAAACGGTATACTTCATTGCTCGAGGTAGTGTTAACCGGCATGTCGAGGTGTTGGCGCTAGCTCCGCAATGCGTGTCCAGTTATACTCGGATAGGATGATTGCTCAGATAAAACAAGTGGTTCAGTGTGCCGACTGGACTGATCTGAGATTACTTGAACGGGATGTACCAAGTATTAATACTTTATATAATAATAGACACCTCGTCTAATCTCAGGGTGCCGCCTCATATTCCGAAGGCAAAGCTGCTTCGCAACTAGGGTTTGGACCCAGCATGTCGGATACGAAGTACATGTAATCATTCTCCGATATTAGCGGCAGATAAGTGAAATAGAGAGCGTCTTTGGTTGCCGACGTCTTTGGTTGCGGTAATGATCATTTTGGTATTAGGTGGTGCCATGCGTCAATCATGCATTGCTGGTACAGGAGCCGAAGTCAAGGATATGCCAAAGGAGCTAAGTTTTTATCATATTACGTAGCTGTCTGTTAAATGGCAGGGGATTGATTGCCGAGACTGCTGTCGCTATGCTCATGCCATCGGCGACATCATGACCTTCATTCGCCTCGATGTTTTCTCTTTCGCAAATGCTTGCTAGTTGGCGTTTTCTACCAATGACATAGCATGTGGACAGCAGATGGCCGACCTCAACTCATTTCCACCGCTTCTTTGTCAGCTTGATTCCGCCTCACAGTCTCTCAGATCGTTCATCTCTCGGTTTGGAGTGTAGGACATGCTGGCTCCTCTCGGGAGATCGTGGAGATCTCAACGCACCCCCTTTCACCGCCTGTTACTAATGGGATCGTGACCTACTGATACGCTGGCTAGCTCATCGGGGTCGGGGAACGCCTCCCAGGGATACCGCCGGTATTGTATGCAAATCACTTTGTGAGATAGGCATTTGCCTTGTAGAGAATCAAAATCCCATGTACACAAGTACATTGCGCATGTACCTGATACCAACATTAAACCCACCCCCGTTAAAATCTATAGGAATAAGCGCAGCAAGGGGTGTTTGTACGCCTACTGTACATCTTCCGCTCATATTGTTTATAGGAGGGCAAATGTACATTCGGTGATGTTGTCTTGATGCTGTTGGTAAGCACGGCATTTACCTGCACTAGCTTGATACCCTTGTACGTACCTGGTACATTACCATCCATCGGCAAATACATCCAAGAACCGGATGTGCAAATAGTCAGCGGCCATCGACACACCCCTTCAGGTAGGTATTCCGCAATACATTTTCAGCTGAGAGAAGACAAGCTACGTTTGGCCCTTGCAAAATCACTACTTCACGGCCCGGGGATAATGAGACGGAGACGGGACTCGGCCTTTTGTCTACTTTGACTCTAGTCTTTGTGCCACAAGTGCCACAAGCCTGAGCGGCCCGAGCACTCGGTTCCGGGGAAGACTGGGCCGGCACGGATCCCCAGCCGTGGTTTCGCATAAACTTGATGGCGGGGAAACAAAATGACAAGAAAGAGAGAGAGAGATGAGGATGGAAGATGGAAAAGACCAGAACAGAAGGGAGATGAAAGAAATCGTGCCATTTGCACCCCTGTTCGGCTCCATCAGGCCAGTTATTGAGGCCTGGGAGGCCGCACCGAGTAATGGGTGGTGTCCCAGCTTCCCAAACAAGTCGGCCGATGTTAAGTCAAGTCTGCCTTGGGCCGCCCAACTGGAGGGGGAGAATAAGTGCCCTATAGTGCTCAGACAGAGAGTCATAAGTCCAATAGAGCCTCTAGAGTCTCCTGTTTTGCTGCCTTTCTCGTGAGTTTTCCGAGTTTCTTAGCCATCCACTTCTCTTACATCCCTCTAGACTAGATTGAATCCAAGTTGTCAAACAAGCGCTCAACACCATTACGGCCATGCCGCGTGGGTCCAGGCCACCATTTCCGTAGTCGTGGGATTGAACCTCTAATTTTGATGTGTTTCTCTGACATCAGCTGAATTCCTTGAATGAGCAGTACCAAGCCGGCCAAACAACCCCCCCAAAAAGGGGGAAGGGGAATGACCAAAACACAATGCAGTCATGATTCACTCCTTGAAGCAAAAATTAAATTACTGCACGCACACATAGGCCACTGGTTGCACGCGTTGTTCTCCACTCCTACCACACCAGAAGCTGCTTCTTCAACGTGTGTAGCCTCCTCAGTTGGTGGGCTTACCAGGCTTTCCGCAAGGCCTCTGACTGCGGAATCTTGATCAAGTTCTGTCTTTGAACAATTTTCTTTTCTTTTCACATCCCTAGCACCTCCACACACACTGAATTGACCGCCTTATCAAGGCCTTGTAAAAGCCTTGGAACACGCAACCAGCGACACGAGACCCCACAGACGGGGTATGAGAGAGGCAGAAGAGATTTCGTGTTGCCCCCTTTTGCGTGGCTTCAGATACCGAGGGAAAGCCATTGCTGATAGCAGTGGTTGACAGCCTCTTGTTTGCCCCTTTCTATTGTGCCACTTGAAGCGTCATCTGATATGGAATTGAGTGGGAGCGTGCTGTATTATTTAATGGCATCCAATAACTATTAAAGAGAAAGCCATTTGACTTACAAGCAAGTGGTTACGCCGGCTATGATTGCGCATGAATCTGTCAAAAATATTCGTCGCGGGTACCGTCGCAATCGCGTATACCGTCGGAGTACCGAGGACACGGTCATATTAAAATTAAATGAGCTATCAAGTCTTTCTGGGTGTTTCGTGCTCGTACTACCTCCGTACTATACAAAGTATTCTTGTCCGGATATCCAGGTGGGCGGAATGTGGACGCCTCGCAGGGGGTCCTAGGAGGATGACAGGAGTGAATCCTCGAAAGCCGAGTCATTGACAACCAACCTCCCTTCCACAGGTTACACGTTCGTACAATTACATCAGAAAGGTAGACAAGAGGAGCTATCAACTGTTTGGTTCCTCGTACTTCTTGGGAGACATAGTGTCGCACATCCCATAGAGGTGTGTAGAGAATCAGAATACACCTATTCTACCCCATACTCTTTCCCAGATTTCCCAGATTTACTGTCAGTATACTGCCAGAATGAAGTTTAATGAAATTAGCGGGGAAAAAAGCTGACGAGTGGCAAATTGATGTTTGGGCATCTTGAATTTTTCTGGAGACAGCACTGGCCTGCAGTTTCAGCCTCGTCGAGTCACCTATTAACACTCTCTTGGTGTGCCGCTGCAGAAGACCTCGCGTTTCATATTCTGGTGCATATATGCAGGGGCGTTAATTATGGGCCGTTGCTCCATCTCTTCAGTTGTCCATGCTGGTACTCAATCCGTTTTGTCTGCAGTACAAATTTGAAGAAGCAGCATCTCTCAAATATCCCGAAGAGTACGAACACACCCAGTAGGCACCTAATTAACCCTAATTCAGTCCTGTCTCCATACAGACGCTGCTAGCTAGTACTACTACTAGCTAAATCATGGAGGCTCTGTGGGATGGATCGCGGGCCGCGAACTAACACTACGGAGGACGCCCAGGTAGGCATCTACCGATTCGGGAAAGAGTATCGTTGGCAATACGTTTGGTGCGCGTACTGGATCTACAGACACATAGTATAATGAATCATTGGCAGGTATAGGAATCGCCAACTATACCGTAGTGTCGTGTCGGCTATCCGTGCAAGACAGAAAAAGAAAAGATTCGACAGCAGAAGGACCTGTCATTCTTCGTGGTTCCATATACTTGCATACAGGCCCTGGTTAGTTTCAGCCTCCGGTCTCCAATATTGACAGCTCATAAAGACGAGGCTCTCACAGTTGCGAGTACAGCTACCGTACTCGTACGAGTACGAATGCATGAGCGATGAATAAGCGATCAAGATAAGAAGACACGGCCAAGGCAGGGGGGTCGGAAGATCCGCTTTATTAGTTTGGACGCCTCGATTCTGGCACCCTGGCTCATGCTGTAGTATGTACTCGTGCTGTAGGCCGCCCCGTACGAGTGGGACTGTCAGCCCGGGGTTGAGAGAATCATGACAGCCGCTTCAAGTTGGACCGGGATGTACTATGTTGGCGAGAGGATCAAGAGAGAGCGGAAGAATCCCGTCGGCCCACTGCTACAGGTAGATGTACGCGCAGAGCATACTATGGAATGTGCTGAGAAGCTTCTCCCCGCTCGACCAAGTGTTGGGAGCGCCAGTTATTTCTGTAGCACTTCCTGCGACATACACTTCGTAACCGACCATGCTTGTGCTCTTATTCGTGCGATGCTGAGACTTCGGATTGTGTGGCAGAGACGGTTAAAAAGAGACAATCGCCCTTTTTGGCCGACTCCATTACGGCGCTTGTCGTGTTTCGATGGACAATACACATTAGTATTGACCCTTATGCGGCCACATAGGTGGCCTACTTGTCGGCTGTACGAGCACTCAGCCCGAACCTGCCTGGAGGCAGCAATGTACGAGTACATGTAGGTATAGGGTCACACCCGGCCCTGCAATTTCAAATCTACCAATTAAAGGAGTGCCAGTGCAGGAGAAGAGTCTCTTGGCGTCCCCAAAGGCAGCGCATGTCTCTGGCACTCCTCCCCACTTCAATACTACCCACCGCAGCCTCGACCAAAATACGAGCAACAAGTGATGACTCAGTGTCTTCTTCCCCTGCTTCTTCACCAAGGCATTTTTCGCAGTTGAGATGGTGGTGTGTTGTTGGTTGTGCAAATTCATTTTGCTTGAGAGGGATGGCATCCGCCCTCCTCGACAGAATAACGGGAGTGCTGCACATGAGGCACAGAAGTCGAGGGGTCAGGTGGAAGAATTTAAAAAGAGCGCATTGTCTAATGTGACCGTGAAAAGCAGTCTCCCTTAGCCAGCCGGCCCCTTTTTCTTTCTCGTTATTGACGGTCTTTGTGCGACCGCTTCCAGACTGTTCCATCGAATTTGCGCGCTCGTTCACCGGCACTACATCCATCTCCAAGTTTCCAGCGCATTGCTTTATGTATCAAATCTCGTTTCTACCATCAGAGGCTGCAGTAGTAGCAAATATGAGCGTATCACTCACGCTGTCATGGAGCGTCCTCCTTGGTGTGGATGCAGCGTGCTCCCTTTCAGCTGTTGAAATTCTTGACGTTAAGGGGCCCCTCACCATCTCACAGGTTGTAGTCAAGCTTAGGCATATGAGAAAAGAAAACTGGATGAAAGGAAGGGTTGGCATACACAATCTCATAGATAGGCTACCAGAGCCGAAGGATTTGGTAGTGTTTGATTATTTGGACGGAGGTAAGTAACCGCAGGTGTTGGTCTCCCTCCCTCCCTCCATAAAGCCACGCCTCTGGTATTTTTAATTTTAGGTCCTAGAAACTGCTGGCTACGCTTCACAATTTCTCTTAACCTTATCCTTCTTTGTTCCCTCATCTCCAGCTGCCGTATACGCTTTCCCTCAACAAAGTACGCTTCGCCATGCTGCTTTCATTCTCTTCAAACCAGTCATTTGTCCATCTGGTTCGTCTCTTTGTTTATATCATCGTCTCTCCGCGACCTTCACACATCTTCTCTCACGGGCCAAATTCCCTCAACCGGACTTTCTTAGATCCTCTCTACCTACAAGCTTCAACACGCGCTACATCTACATCTTCCGTGTGCCCTCCCTCCAAACGACGACGCGAGTTCTTTAGCAGAGGCGTTACACAATATTAACCGCCCGCTACACGCGTACTCACTATTCGACATAGACGAGACTGTCGACATACCCTCCGACTTGAACCCGCGCGAATTCCTTCCATTTGCTGGCGTCTTCAGAAGACTGCATTTTGGCGATATGGACAAATTGGACGCGATCAGACGTGAAGAGGCCATCAGATGGGTCCGCCGTTGACGATACGATGTTTATATAATAGGGACGAAATATAAGCTTTAGGTGCCCAGGAGAAAAAGGAATAGATGCGCGCTCTTCGAACTGTAGGCTTTTGTAAAGTCTTTTGCATTCGTATTCTGGATTCATTTCTGGTAACGTTCGTCAAATAGAATGTACCAATTTCTTGTCTTTAGCGAGATCAAGCAAGTTGAGAGAAGCGAACAACCCTCACGAGACTAAAGCATGCCAACGCGTGCGGTAAAGCTAATAAACTATTAAACATAACTCTATTAGAACGCGATGAACTCTATTAGAACGCGATGAACGATAACGAGCCACGCGAACGATACGGTTTCAAGACGATTTGGCATTACCCAGTTATACCAACGATCGAGCAATAGTCTACACAGACACAATATAATTTCTTTCCGAGTTTCCATCTCCAGTGTCATAATTATACTATTCCGACAGATTCACAGGCGGAGCTTCTTTAGCTTACGTAACCCTAGTTAATAGGGTAAGTAAGATAAGTATTACTATTAGGGACCTTCTATTAAGTATGCCTTTCTTGTTGATAAGTATTTAAACTATACTTGAATGGGCTATTGCGGGAGAGTAAAATATACTATAATAAGCTTTACATATATATATACATGAGCATATAAAGCAAAAGCCCTCCTCGCTCAGAAGGGCTGTGTGAGATGGATACTATTGGCTTGGCGGCCCATAGTTAATACGGTGGTGTAGCCAATGGTTATCATCATTGTTACACTTGCTGCCTAAACAACTTGCTGCCCAAGCGACTCGATGCCCAAATTACATATAAGGTAGCTTTAGTAAGAACAGACTTCCTTTATGTTCTATATTGAAAATATTATTGATCTTGTCCGTTCATAATTAAATCCCATCTTTAATTCTTTTTATTATTCAACCGCTAATATGCTTAGTTGTGCTTGCTTTGGAAACTCTAGGCGAAAGAAAGCAGAAGGATTTAATACTAGTCCGCAAGAGCACACTGGTAACGAAAATCATGCTAATCTTGATCATACTGATCACGATCATGTCGGTCATGATCATGTTGATCACGATCATGCTGATCACGATCTTGCCGACCAAGATCATGTTGACCAAGATTATGTTGACCAAGATCATGTTGACCAAGATCATGTTGACCAAGATCATGTTGACCAAGATCATGGCGACCAAGATCATCCCATACAACACAAACACAATGAGTCTCTCGCTGGAGAGGGCCAGGATTCCGGAAAGTCAATTGTGCAAGAACTCTGGAAAGCCGCATTTCGCAATTTGGAGGATGAAAATGGAACATTGATGAAGAAATTCAAGGAGCTTATGAAACTAGAGCTGAAAGACCTTGATCCTGCAAAATCGACACACCTTAATGCAGAAGAAGATTGGAATCTTATGGAAGCCTTTGTCTCCAGCCAGGTTCCCCATGCACTGGATCCGGCGAAAGGAAAAGTTCTCAACGGATTAGACCAGGCGTTTCGAATCTTGCGAGGGATAATTGATTTGATAAATGAACCTATCAAGCTAGCTCCACAAGCTGCTGTCCCTTGGGCAGGCGTGAATATTGCTGTTACAGTAAGCGAATTTCATCCTCACAATATTATTCCATATAACTAATCAATCTTAGGTAATCTCCAATCCTTTATTGGAACGCAAAGCGAATCTTGACGGTCTTCAAGCTGCCTTTGACAAACTCAATTGGTATCGAGAGATTGCTGCAGATCTCTTCCAAAGCGAAGAAGCGGGACATACAATCTTAAGGCAGCGAGATCTACTTAAGATAAAAATGGTTGATTATTTTCAGAAACTTCTTCTCTATCAAATACGCAGTATACTGTTATTACACACCAATAAGGTTCTCGTCGCTATTCGGGGAGTTGCCAAATTTGACAACTGGGAACAACAGTTGAAGGAAATTAAAGAGGCAGAAACCGAATTGGACAGTCGAATTGAACAATATCAAAATCGAAGAGAGCGAGAAGAAAAAGAGCAACGCCAAAAAGAAGAAACCCGGAACATGTGCCTGAATGCCTTGGAAGTACCAGACCCAAAATATGATAAAAGGCGCATCTTACAAGACAAAGGAGGTCTTGTTCCAAGTTGCTGCGACTGGATTCGAGAAGAGCAACAATTAGAACAAAGAAGCTTTCTTAACTGGATTAACGATCCTGAGAAGAGCATATTCTGGATTACAGGTAAAGCCGGCAAGGGCAAGACAATGCTGGTATGCGACCTCATCCAAGGGCTTGAAGAAACTCTTCATAAAGGGCCATTATTTTATACTTTCTGCGAAATCTCCAAATCTCAATCAGCAGATTACAACGCCACCACTTTGCGTGGCCTTATTTATACAATAGCATCTCAACATCCATCACTTACACACTACATCCGAGCTGAGTGGGATAAAAACCATTCCCTATTCAAAGATGTAAATGCTCGACTAAAGTCTTACGACATTCTCAAAGCTATTCTTGTCGACGATGTAATGAACGGCACTATTATCTTTGTTGATGCTCTTGATGAGTGTGGCAATGACTTGGACTTACTGCTTGACCTTATCACAACTATATCCAACATAAAATGGGTGGTTTCAAGTCGAAGCAATACTAATCTTATCGATGAGAAGCTTTCCAACTCTCCTCAATGCCAAAAAGTGTCGCTTGACGAGCTAGGCGACTTGGTAACTACGGCTGTTGCTATTTATATCGAGAAACAGGTACACGATCTAAAACAAATAAAGAAGTATACAGATGACGACAGCCTTAACATTCGGCGCTATTTAATGAAACACGCTGAGGGCACCTTTCTGTGGGTTGCATTAGCATGCAAAGAACTTTGGGATCCTGATACCGATGACGACGCCCTTGAAGTTCTTAATAGTCTACCTCGCGGTCTCGACGCTATGTACGAGAGAATGATGGGAAAGATTCAAACAGCGAAGAAAGAACGAACGAGACTATTTGAAATAATATTGAGTGTCAATCTGGTCGTTTCGCGCTCTATCACAATTGATGAATTTCTACTTCTTGTGAAATCATCAAAGAAGCTCAACCTTTTTAAAGACGCAAGGCACTTACAGCAGATGACCGAAAAATGCGGCTATTTCTTTACAATTTCTCATGGCGACAACGCGCTCTCATCCTCTGGAAACTTTATCAACTTTGTTCATAAATCGGCGAAAGACTATTTACTCGAGAATAGAAGCGAAAAGGTACCGCTTCCTGGGTTAAATTACGATATTTTCCAGCGATGCCTCGAGCAAATGAGTGAGCATCTCAGACGCGACATGCTGGATTTGAAACATCCCGGAGCGATACCAACTAAAGAACATCCTGCTCTCAAACGGTTAAATCGCATTGAGTATGCTTGCACTTGCTGGGCAGAGCATATTGATTGTAATAATCACGTCGACAATACCTGTAAGGAGTATGGGAATTCGATTCAAGATTTCCTAAGCAACCATTTCCTCTGTTGGATAGAGGCTCTTAGTCTTCTCGGGAAGTTATCCGCGGGGGCTATGGCCCTTCAAAAGCTCAAAGACTTTGCCGTAAGTTGCAAAAGTTCTCTCTTGCCTTGTTGATATACGTTTGCTTATTGAAACCTATCTCACTTTAGGACAACCACAAAATGCAACATCTTTCCGAACTACTTAGAGACGCCTATGTCTTCTTTATAACTTTCAGGCTGCCTATTGAGCAACGTCCATTACAAGTATATACGTCAGCTTTATTATTTACGCCGACATGCAGCCAATTAAAAACCGTTTTCGCTGAATACGCACCAAATTGGGTCACGATAAGATCCGGTCTTAAGAAGCAATGGCCTTCTCACCTTCATGCCATAGAAGGCCTCCATGGTTCTATAAGAAAAGTGGCGTATTCAAAAGATGGCCGTAAACTCATTTCAGCATCATGCAGCGACGTCGATATTAGGGATACAACGACATCCGCTTCTTTGCAGAAGTTCCACGTTCCAGCTCATCAAAATTCAGAGCCACGAGATTTTGAGATATCAGGGGATGGAACGAGAGTGGCTTGGTGTTGGGGCAATTCGCATACGCTCATTAAAGTTCTCGATACTACTGTTGGCATATGGATTGAAATGGCTGGAGGCCATTTAGACGGAAGGTCTTTACTATTTTCACAAGAAGGGAGTCGGCTAGCTTCCTCATCCAAGGAATGCATAAAGTTATGGGATGCTAAGAGAGGTGTGCTCTTTTGTGAATTGCCTCTACTGTGTGATTGGTCCCCAAGTTTCTGCTTCTTGGGTGACGGTACACAATTCGCCTCGGCTTCGGATAGAACTGGAGAACCAATTCAGATATGGTGTACTGAGTCAGGGCACCTGGAAAAACAAATTGCACTGGAAGATGGAACGATGGTGAGGACATTAACATCATTTCCCAATGATCAATCCAGGCTACTATCGGTTTACGACAATGAAAAGGCTGAAATTTGGGATTTGCTGTCAGAACAAAGTGTTTTCGACTTCGATAATTTTGTTGACGGGCTTCAAGGTGTTGGAATATCTCGAGATGGTGAGACCATAGTTATCATCACCGACTCAGAAGAAGCTTACCTATGGGACCTCAAGAAGAAAACAAACTTTAAGCTCGATGGAAGCTACTCAACCCCGCTTATCTTTTCAAATGATAGCAAACTCCTTGCAATGCAAGCCACATGGGATGATGAGATTTGGGTCTGGGATATTGACTCACGTAAAATTATACGCAAATTCGAAGGCCATGATGACATTGTGAGATCAATGGCCTTCTCGCCGGATAGTCGGTTTCTAGCTTCAAATACGGGGGATAGAGGCAATCCCGGCGAAGACTATACTAAAATCTGGGATATCAATACAGTTAACCTCGAATTAACTGATGTTGTTGAGCATGAGGAAAAGACCAACGCGATATCACACGTTTCATTTTCTAAAGAAGGCAAATGGCTCGCTGTTGTCTCAGAAGATTCAGGAATCGACTTATGGGATAATTCAGGGACTTTTATATGCAGAGTCAGCGATCAGGAAGATGTCAGATGCATCTCCTTTTCGTGGGATAGCATGAAACTCGCCTTCGGGACTGTCGATGGTATTTGTGGGATTGCCAACATTTCACCAAAGCCTGATACTCTGGATACTTCTTCGCGAAAATTGATTCCAGAAGGTGGATCAACCGTAACCTCGTTATCGTTCTCCAGGGATGACATGCTTCTTGCTGCTGTTGTCATTGATCGTATACGATTCTTCAATATTGAAACAGGCAAATACTGCCAAACGCAGCATCCGAAACCAAATGAGGATGAATACTTCGGACATTATCGCGAGGATCCTCATATTTGTGCTGTTAATTTCTATAAAAACAGCCTAGCTGTTTCTATCGCAGAAAATGGCAATGCTCAAATGTGGAATACAGTAACAGGCGAGTGCTTGAAAGAATTTCGCGCAGAGTCTCCTAAAAATATATACGGCATGGTTAGCGCTGCTATTGATGTGAGGCTCTATCAAGACTCACTGCAACTGATTTCTACCTCCGAGCCAGAAGGCTGGAAGTTATATATCACAGATGTCGAAACAGAAAGGCGTGTTCAAATTTCGGAAACCTGCGCCACAGATTTCATTGAGTTTGCCCTCAACAGCAACAACATTATCTCTACCAGGTGTGGTAATATTGACTTAAACCAACTCGACCTTAATGGGGATCAACACACATTTAAAGCTACAGGTATTATTATCCATGGCTACGGGTTAGGTGACGATTGGATTCAGAAAGATGGAAAGCCAATCATTTGGCTTCCACCAGAATACCGAATGTATTGGGGTAGGTATAGCATTGGAAATTCTCAAATTGCTATTGCTACTATATCGGGGCGCTTTGTATTGATTGACTTTGCGGAATAAGTCCCTAATATTTAGTAAATATCCAAATAAACATGACGAAGATTGTATTTAATTCAAATATATGTATTCAATACATCAATGTGACCAACTGAATTTCTATAGTAATATACCTAAGTAAGCATAAAGTAAGCTTTCTTTATAAATCTATTATAATAACGGGCCATCTTGCCTAAATATTATATATCGCCAAGTTTACAGTGGCTATATATTGCGATTTCTTGCTCTTCTCCTTTCGGTCCTTGTAATATTTCACATCTCTGCTATCCTATGTATTGAATCCAAAACGACCTGTATGAGGACAGCCTCACGTTCTCTGCCAGATTCAACAATACCTGATTATCCCGGCACGGTGTTTCATTCAAGCCCTCTTGCGATTACCACAAGAGACTCTAATATCTATTTTTGATCCGACGAAATCCGACGAAACAATACTGTCTAGCCTTCTGTGACAAACATTTCATACTGCCAATCTCCGTAGCAATGCTAATTATCACGATACATACATACGCGAAATTGAGTTTATTGTTCATAAAACATGATTGTGATCACTAATATTAAGGCTGCTTGGGTATAATATTGTAGTGGCGTAAAAGCTCTAGATGATAGGGGAAATTTTGAAAGCGCACTGCTTTCATGAAGCGTTAGGGACAAGGGTTGCAAAACATTCTCTAGTCTTTTTGCCCAAATATTTCCAAATATTCCTTCCGCGCATACTTTTCCATTTTATCCTAGCGAAGCATTGTCTTACCTTATTTTCTTCATTTTTACGCAATTCAAGCAGTGTATACGAGAATATTTCCCGTTTGGTGATTACATCTTTTTTTGTAGACGGCCGCGTAGCTTTCAACTTTCTTGGATCCACGCGGGCGACAACTCCCAGTGTTATTTGGGAGAGTTATCGAGGGACTGGTCAGTTGTATACACCCAGTCCATCTTGTCTTGTTGTAATATGACCAGTATGCCTCTGCCGCTGCCGCATCTATAGCAGCATATCGCATCGTATTGATTGGTAGCCAGCCCTGTCCACTGGTGCATGGTGGCATCTGCTTGACATCTTGAGGCTTAACAGAGGGCGAGAGTCCCCCTCAACCGGCAATGGTTCTACCAAGGAAGCAGAATTGTTAAATCACATGTCACTGTTTGCCGAATCATGAAGCACTGTTTTTTTTTTAGTTTCCTTAGTTAGAAAAGGCCTCTCAATCTTGCAAATCGTGGCCAGCTTTGCATCTCACCCGCTAGAGCGAGTCTTGCCGGAGAGCTACCCCTGTCAACAGAATTGAGCAGCAGGTTAAGCCCAGACACTGCGTCAAGAGCGTCTCCGGCTAGCCATGCAGTCGTCTGCCGTTCTTTGGGATCACATGAGCACTTGAAACTGGGGGAGTACTGCCAGCATGCGGCATCCTTCGGAATACACAAGCAATACAAGCCCAGATAACTTGTCAAACGCTTAAACAGCATGTACTGTATCAGTCTCTCCCGGCCATACCTTGAGTGTAGGTATTTGTTCCGCCCGCATATTCGGATACCAGTCCATACTTACTCGAGTAGACACTTATTAATCCTTTTCTCGTCTACTGGTCTGTTTCCTACTAATTTCTCATGCCCCCGCTGAGGTGCGTCAGTCCCATTTCTCTTTGCTTTTTCCTTAGCTCTTCTACCCCAGCAACAGGACGGCCTCTTTGTCTAAACATGGACCCCTGGAGAATAAACGGAACTGACATAATATTACACATATTATTTTGGTAGTACTATCTATTTATACCCAGGTAAACAAGGTAATACATCTATGTAATTCACCAGGTATTCCATTCTTCAGCAATCGACTTACACAACTCCCATTACCCTCTTCCCTCCAAAAGACTCAACTCCCCATCCCATTACACAAGCATCGCAGCAGCCGCAACAGCCAAGCCTCCAAGAAGGGCAAACTCACCCCTCACCTGACCAGCATCGTTACCCGTCTGCGAAGGCGCCGCACCAGAGCTCGTCTGAGAAGCAGCCGAGCCACCACTCGTCGCGCCCGCGGTTGTGGCAGTCGAGGCGCTGGATGCGCTGGAGGGGTTCACGAAAGCACCGATGACGCCTCCCTGCTGCTGCTTGGGAGTTGTGCTCTTGGCGGCGTTGGCGGCGTTGGACTTGAAGATGTTGAGCGTCTCTGACTTGTTGGAACTACAAGATGACACAACTGGTCAACAACACCACTTCCCATATATAGACTGATGGTGCTGAGGATAGGGAATGGACTCACGAAACGTTGATTACTCCAACCATGCCAGCCTGGCAATGGCCCGGGAATCCGCAGTAGAACCAGACAGGCTTCGTATCGTTGATGGTAATAGTGAAGGAGTTGGGCTTAAGAACATCCCGTCAGCACACGAAGCTTGCCAGCACTTAACAAGAGAGGGGGAGGGAAAAGCTTACATTGGGGCCATTGCCATTGGTCGACATGCCGGCGAAGAAGCCGGTTCCGCCGTTGAACGCGGTGCAAGGCTCATCAAACGATGCCTGGACGACAGAGTGTGTAGGGCCAAAGAACTGGAACTCGATCTTGTCGCCGACGTTGGCCGTGATTTGGTCGGGCGAGTAACTTAGTGATCCGCTCTTTCCTACTGTGACCACCTGAAGCGACGAGGCGGCAGAGACGGCGCCGACGAGGCTGCTCAAAAGGAGTGCGGGTGAGTACATCATGGTTGTTGTGGAGATGTATAGGGAGGTTAAGAGAGAGACAACTTTCGAGGAATTGGTCTTGAAGGAAGATGTTTTGTTACGAATGAAACAACGAAACAATTCGAAAAAAAAAAAAAAAAAAAAGAGGATATCATTTTTATATAGCTTCAGACTATCTTACCGACTTTTGAACCCATCTTACCGAAAACTAGGTAGGGGGGGAAAAGGGATTCGTAACACACGCCCAATCTAGTCCCAATATCCCCCGTCTCGTCTCAACGGCCCTGAACTCAACCCAACGCTTGGACGGCTCAACTAAACCTGCATGCCATGGGTGGGAGAAAGAGAGACGGGCGCATTCAGCTGGATCGTGCATATTTCTATTAATAGTCAATTGACCCAGACGGGCATTCAAGTCTTCCCGCGCCGAATGAGGCTTGCATGGGGCCATCGTGCGCTTACTTGGTTACCAGATCGGGAGGCGTCTCTTCAGCTGGCGAATAAGACGTGCCCTTTTCGATGCAGACGGCAATTGGAGTGCCGCCGGGCCACTTACAAATCCACGCCTAAAAAAGTTCATCAAATGGGCTAAACAACTCCGACGTGATGGTTAGGCCGAATGGGAAAAAAGGATGAGAAAGGTACCAGTCGCTGAGGGGCTTGGGAGAGTTGAAAGATTGCTATTGAGGAGAAAAGCTATCCGCAATCACTGCGCTAAGAAACTCTGGTGTCTTTGCACTGTTGTTCTGGACCGTCCATCTCCGTCTGACGTTGGGATGAGAGCAAGACAACATGTTCTAACCATTTGCATAGATGGTAAACATCTATACTTTGGGGGTAGATGCACATACATGTACCTATTCAAAGGCACTAAGACAAGGTTGCGATACCTAGTAAGAGGTGCCGAGGTAGTAGATAGAAGTCGACACACTACCAGATACTTGTAAACCCCCGGGTAGCAGAAAGGAAGAACCCGGTTGCACATTTATCAAAGCGCGTCCCGTTTTCTAATGAATCATCCTTTTATTTGCTCTTGGTCTCATGAGATAATGTTGACAAAACGCATAAACATATGCTGTAATACAATGACAAGTCCCTGCCCAGAACCGACCGAATCAGGGCGTCTAAAAGAATTTCGACGTCAAGCCCCCGATAACCATGTTCCGCTTCTGCCTCCCGATAAACTTGTTTACATCGTCCGCCCATCCCTCGGATTGCTCTTGCAATGAATTCATTGTGTCTCCCATGAGGTTCAGTTTCTCGGTTCTTTCGTTCAGCTGCCTCGTCAGATAGTCGCCCCAACCTTCCTGGGTTGCGGATGCACCAGCAGGATGGCTTCTCGCAGCTCGCTGCTCCGCGGCAGCCGCATCCATCATTCTCTTGCTAGGCGGTCTATTGGGGCCTCCTATCAAAAGGTCGAGATCCAACGGCGATACATGCTGTGTTCCACTAATCCACTGCATGTTGGAAATCGTCGGGCGGGGAGGAATGCTAATCTCGGGGTTGATTAGTCGATCCGGGGATTGTTGCAGCGGTTTTCCCGTACCCCACACGTGGACGACTGCCATCTCCGCAGGGCCTGCCCATGCGAAGATATCACCAGTCTGTGTGACAATGGTTGCCGTGCTGCGTGTACGATCAATCATGGGGAGCTTGGCACTACCAAGATCCCGCATGCCCGGGATACTAAATGCCCTGGCCGTTCCATCCCGGAAGGTAGCGACAATGGCATAGCCCTGCAACTCAAGTTCTGCTACACAGGCCGAGTCGCATAAGAAGTCGCCGAATTCTTTGGAGGCGCCCTTGGAATGAGCAGGCCTGAGGATCCTGATTTCCTTCTCGGTCACTGTCCATGATTAGTCTACCGGCGGTTTGCAAAAACGTCTCCGCAGTCAAAGACAAACTAAATGAAGCAAGGAAACACTTACCGGCAACGAGAACACCATTGACCTGACGCCCCTCTCGAAGCCCAGCCACGATTGGGCCCGTGGCTAGCGCCGGCTTCCCGGTGTCAGCCTGGATCGGATTCAGGGCGACAACTTTTCCGTCGAATGCAACCATTCCGGCTACTTCGGCTGTGTAGCCCCCGCCCCCTGCGGGTAACAGCTTCATGGTGATGACCTTTCCCAGGTTGGTGCCAACAAAGCAGCATATCGACGAGTACTTATCGTCGTCCAACGTCATGACACCAAACTCAATTACCACGGCAAACTCTTTCGGGGGTTGTGAGCTGGATTTGGAATGGCCCTTGAGAAACAACTTTCTATTTTCCGGCTTCGCAAAGTCCGTCATGGGAGCTTGAAAGATGATTTTAGGACCACGGAGGTCGATGATGGTCAGGAAACCGAGCTCCGACCCAATCGCCGCGAAGCCCACGTTTGAAATTTGAACAGCGGTAATCGGCCCTTGCATCATCTCGTACAAGACAAACGGCTGTAGGCCTTCCTTTAGGTTCGGCTCTGCCCTGGAGCTGATGTCGGAGAGTCCCATTGGATTCGGATCCAGCGGCTTGGGCTGATTCTTTCCGTAATATGGGTTTGTGCCCCAGCGAAATATGACGGCCTCTCCGGTTTTCGTGCCCACGACAAATTCGCCAGTGGTACTAGCCAAACTCATTGCAGTCACTTCGACGTCGTCGAAGCGGTCCAAGGCCCGAGCTATGTCGACCTGTAACTGGACTTCGTTTTCGATTTGATCAGCGTGCCCTGAATCATACAGTCTAACGATGCTATCGGCATGCGCCGTCTGGATAATTGTGCGATCTTCAAATCTCTTTTTTGGTCTCACTCCGGCTGCTCCACCCTTTACGAGAGGTTCTCCTTGATCTCGTTTCTCCACCATGGACAGCCACCTAGGCCGGTCGACGCTGGAGACGTTGAATTTTGTAACAAAAGGATGCACGAAGAAAGTTGACGGATGGAGTTGATTGGTGGGGCTGATCGGATATCCAGAAGGAAAGCTGAGGGTAATCAGCTCGCCCGAAGATAATAGCACAATGACGGCAATGGGATCCTGTGAACCACCAAAGTAGGGCGAGTCTCTCGGAATAAGCAGAAAGTCAATTGCTTGAGCTCCGGGTGGCAGGGCCAGCGGTATATGTCGTTTGCCTCGGAAATGGTTCTCTAAAGCTTGCCAGGTTGATGTCGCATACATGGGCGTCACGCCGAGCTCGATAAAGGTCAGACTCTTGGGAGACGCATCGGGGGCCTGGCCACCTGCAATCAACAAGCCAGTGTCGTCGCAGTTTTGTTTGCAGCACCAAGCGATCTTGATATACGGCTCCGAGTACGCTGGGGTCGGCGCACTCGGGGTGGCTTGTTGAATGCCAAACTCCGTGAGTGTTCTCGCCATGACAACTTTTGCTTCTTTAGGATCCCAGAAAACCAGACTTCCGTCCTCATGGGCAGTGAGGATAAACGTGCCCGAGGGGTGCCACAGAGCATGGGTCAGACGAGGTCGGCGCACTTGATCCATGCCGATGCTACTTCCTCCAGGCGCCCCGACCGGAAGCACGTACTCGAGAAATTGCTGTGGCTGATTCTGCTTGAATGTATAAACGACAGCGCCGTGGCTGTATCCGATCAGGAGCTTGCCGGCATCTCGGGGATGCATCGACATGGTGACCAGAGTGACTGTGTGCTGTATCGGATCCTTTGCCTTCCAGAAGTTGGGCAGTCGGAAAGACCGCGCGAGACCACGTCGGTCCAGATCGTATGCCATGATGTCTCCATTCTGCATTCCAATAAACGCCCAGTCGAGCATAGGATCCGTCACCATCGAGGTCACCGGGCCGCCAATGACCTGAGCGGCCAGGCGCTCTCCGGTGTCGAGATCCCAAAGACCAAGCTCATTGTTCCTATCGAGGCTGACGAGACGGTTTGCGCTGAATTGGATTGTCTGGAACGACGTTCGTCGCGGGGGGTCGAACGTCTTCTGCACGCGCTGCTGGCCAAAGACGTAGATCTTTCCAGAGCCAAACTTGCTCTCGGCGGTTCCGATGGCGAGCAGCGACTGCACGGGATCGTAGGCAAAGCAGCTAGAGGATTTGTCGCAAGTTAGAAACCATCGCACATGCCATCTCCCCAAAACTTTCTCCCCATTCTTTCTCTTTCTCTTTCTCTTTCTCTTTGTTGTCGTTGCTGTGACCGTCTCCGTCGTTCGTCTTCGCCCCTTTGGTGGCGGGCCATGGTTGCGTCATAGCCAAACCGCCGCTTCACTCACCTTATCTGTGAGTTGAGGCCATATCGCGCGTGGTCATCAGGCGTAAAGAGTTCCGGTCGGATGCTGGCAGACAGGTCATTCTGGATGCCTGCCTGCTTGCCTCGCAGAAAGCCGGCCATGGCGCGCCGCAAGTGGTTTTGCGAGAGGTTGAAAGGGAGAAGAAGTTGACAGCCATTTCTCGGCTTTCAGCGCGCTGCTGCCACAAAGAGCTCCAGCTCGACTCACCAAGACCCGCCGATCCATAGCGGGGTAGGGCCACTGGGAGCTTTCATGTTGGGCAATTGACGGGCGTCAGCGTCCGGAGCTTGCCGGAGCTTGCCGGACATCATGGAATCCATGGATCAGATTTTGGCAGCCCGTGATCAAGTTGCGTGTCATCCATTGATGCTTACGTTCGCCCGAGATCTGTATGACAATCTCAACCAACTGTAGTATCGATATCGACTTTGTATTCTTTTCTTCTTCTCTTTTTCTTTTTCAGTCTCACACGTGCAAGTCTCCTTAATACTACCTCTACGGCCCAACGCTCTGATGCCAAGCATGTCCCCATGAAAGAAAGAAAAAACACAGCCTTCCTTGGCTACAACATCCTATCCAATCATTCAACAACATTTCCATGTGATTGACTGCACTCATTACACCGTTCTTTCCTCCCACTCATCCATCCCTCGTCTCAAAGCCGCATCATGCTGCTATCTGCTTCCCTTCTTTTCTTCTATATCCTTACTATTCATCCTAGAACCCATTTCCACCTCCACCGAATATGCATGGCCAAGTCATGGTCAACCGTAGATCAAAATCACAAAGCGCACATAACACTCATCCTCAAATAAATCAAATAAACGTCACAGGATTCTTTTAAACGGGAAATCTCAAGCAGGCACATGCACCTTCACGGCTTCTAAGTCAACTTGCGTCCATTGTCTAGGCTATGTGAGCTTATTATAATAGCAAATGACCTCCACCGCCATCTCCCGCCAATCCGGTCGCCCCTTTTATTCATGTTTGATACTTGAATGTATCTCATGTCTGTGTGATAGTCGTCCAAAAAAAAGCATCTCTCCGTTCCTCTCGTCACTGTAACCACCTCCTAACGATTCCTCAACCCCTTTTTAAAAGCAAAGTTCCGACGCAATCCCACCTCCATTCTTCTCGGCACCGTGGTTGTTTAGATGTACCACATGGTGCTACGGAAGAAATCCCTCTGTCTCACCTCTCCGTCAATGGGAGCATTATTCTCCGGTTTTCCGCCAAGCTGGAGAAGAGTCGGAGCATCACTGCCCCGTTGGGGGACACTCAGTGACTCGCCCTTGGCAACTTTGTCGCGGATCATCTCGTGGCCCTTGGCGCCAGCACGGAAGCCCTCGCTGGTTGCGACGTTCTCATGGGCACGAGCCCGGGCTCCGGCGAGATGCGCGTAGTAAACGGCTGGGTGAAGCGACACTGGTGTTGTCGATCTTGCATAAGAATAACATTGATGATAGATCATCTTCTGCAGTTCGTTGACGGGAATGTTCATCTCATCAATGAGCACATGATAGTGCACTGGACGAGCGGTGCCCTGGATGGCAACATGCGAGCAGAGGTAGAAGTCAAACATGAAAGGATGAGTAACTTCCTTCTCCACCAGAGTTCCCGGCAGGGCGTTTCCATTTTTATCTCCCTTCTCAGGGAAGAAGCGGATGTGATGGCGCTTTGTCGCCACAATCACAGTAAACTTGGGCATCGGCATGTTGGGAACCGCCTGCTTGAGATAAGCCTTGATTTCCTTGATCTCTTGCTCGATGACATGAGCAAACTGTCCCTCAGCGACACCGTCGCGGAAATACATAATATGCTTGGGGAACGAATGATCATGGCCGGCCTTCCAAATTTTGCTCAGGTTGCCAAACAGAAAGTTTACGTTGGAAGACGTCAGCATCTCAACTCGATAGCCGTTGGTTTCCACCATGGCGGCATATTTTGTTGCGTCTCTGTCAACAGACATGGTCATGGCTGCGACAGAGGGAGATGGGCCGCCAGGCGCAGGGTGGGAAATATCAACGCCAACCATCATGGTAGGTCTATCCTTTGGGAAATAGGTGCCTTGGGTCATCCTCCATGGCGGGTTGGTGCGAGAGGTAGAACCTCCAAGCTTGGCATTGACCTTCAGGCACACGTTGGAGTGGTACTGTCCGTTGTTCTGGGCGACAGAAGCGCCATTCACAACTTGAGTCAGGATGCCGAAACGGCAATCGGCAGACTTCTTGAGGCGCTCATAGTGTGGGCTGTTCTTGTGTTGAACGACGACAAAAATCAGTTGGGTATATCCTCGCTCACGAGTAATCTGGTTGTGCGCATGAGCCAGTGCTTGAGCAATGTTGTTCTTGATGTTGCCTGGCACATTCACCAGGACAGGGTCAGCTTGGCAGGCGCCTCCGTGACCCATAAAGGTGGACTTGAATGTGCGAGCAAACTGCTGAAGCTGGGGGAGCTGAACGCAGTCGTCCATGACCAAGAAGCCCCAACTGATGAGTGGCGCTCGGTTCTGCTTGAAGAACTTCTTGCCGCGTAGATCCCAACGACCAGAATATTTAGGATCAGCTGTGCCTTGGCTAAAGTTCACGGCGGGAGGAGCCAAAATCCTGGCCTCAGTCCTGGAGAAGGAGGTTTCCATTTGAACTCCATAGTGTCGCAGATATGGATCTTGAGGCAACTGAAGATCGCCTACATTCTTCAAAATGTCACCCTTGCGCTCCTTTGGGCGCGTCACGGCAATCTTGATCATTGCCGCAGTCTGTTCGGGGTTCAGCTTGAACGCATACCTCTGCATCGGTTCAACAAAGGCAAATTCCATGGGGATGTGTCCATTCTTTCCTGTGGAGATAAGAGGTAGGTGAGCATTTCGTAGATGCGCCTTGTACTTCTCTTGATAGTAGTCGGCCACCGAGATGTCTCGCCCATTGTAATCAAATTTGACTGTCCGGGCATTGGCACCTTCTGCTCCATACTTCTGATCAAATGCAAAGTCCATCACGGTGTAGACCTTTTCAGCAAGCTTGGGATCGCGATTGCTGTGTCGGATGGTGAACTTGAGCTTGCGCATCTTTCGCAGCTGCTTGAAGGCATCAGAAGACTGCCACTCTCCCCTCTGGTTTTGCACAGGCCTAAAAATGGTCGTGGTTGCAATGTTGATTCCCTTGTAGCGCCTGTCAAGGGTGCCGAGGAAGTTGGCCATGACCTGATCCAGGGTTTGTCGGCCAGTCCAAAAGCAGGTGTTGGTAACATCTGCGTTGAGAGCAAGGCCAATGCCTCCCTTTGCAAGATTGTTTGATAGCCTCAAAGAAGCATAAGTCCCTTTGTGGACTTCAATGACTCCGCCTTGCATGAGCGGCCGGCCAGCTTCATTTCGCTTGTAAAAGTTTCGTTTGATGGCAAGCAAATGCTCAGACGGCCACTGGCGAATGAGGTGGTCCATGAAGTTGAGGGCTTCTTGGACACTGTTGTTGAATTGAAGCTTTCTGTCCAAATAACCCTGGAGAGCAGCCATCTGGATCTCAGTTGTCTTGCGCAAGATGAGATAGAATTTGTTGGAGCGTCCAGATCGTGCAGCAGGCTTGCCCTCGTCCAAGTCCACGGTGACACGAATCTCGCCACGGTCCACCAAAGAAGGAGACCATGCCAGTCTGGAGCCGTCTATAATCCACATTTGATAGTTGTAAGCAGCGAGCGCCTTTTTGAGGTTTGGATGAGCCCAAATCTTCTTCAAAACTGGTCCACGTTTGTCCGGTTCAGGCGAAAGGACAACCTATCAGGATGTCAATTAGTAACGAGTTTTCCAATTCTTGATATCACGGACAACTCACATCGTATTGGTAGATCTTCTTTTTGAAGTCAAACTTGGTCACTCGGAATTGATTGACTTCAATAGTCTCTGGTCGACCCTCCGTGTTGAACTTGTTGCCGCGAATAGCAAACACATCTTTTTGGGCCTCATTAGTAACATAGGCATCTGGAGGCAGCTCCATGCGAGAGTTTCCCTTTCGATCGTTGCTCTCCGTCTTTGCAGGATCGAATCCCATGCTTGGTGCCCAGCCAGGCTGCGAACTGCCAGAGGCTGTGCCTTGTGCTGGTGAAGCGCCACGGCTTCTCGAAGCACCCGATGCAGATGGCTGGCGAGATGGCTGGCGAGATTGCTGGGGGGTTCCTGGCCCCGAGACGGCGGGAGAGCGTCCTCTCTCAGACATTTTCAACGCTGTATAGTAGAAGAAAATGTCAGTCAAAGGAACGATGAAGACTAATGAATTCTGAAAATACAAATGAAAACAAAAGTGTGGGAGGAGAGGAAAGATAAACAGAGGCGATGGCCGGATATGAAGAGTTTGCCTTGAACAGACGTACCAGATGGCTTTGATAACCGCTGCTAGATATGTCGGAGGCAGGCGTGCCTAAGTATGGAATGGTATCGTAAACGAAACTTGGCAAGAAAGTGATGTCTGAGCGATAGGCCTGCGGCTGGGTTAGCAAAAGCATTTAATGATGTGCCCTAGTGAGAAAGAAGGATTTTACCAAAACTATAGGGCAGCGAAAAAGAGAACGGACTTGGTAAGAGAAGACAGGAAAAATAAAAGAGTGTTTGATAGGAACTGAAGAAGACGCAAAGAGCTGTTGGAGAGTAGGAGATGTGATGAGCCAGATGCTGAGACCAAGCTAAGGAAGATGATTAAATGTGCAAGAGTGGACGCGACGAGTGCAAGAACATAGCCGGGAAAATGGGAGATGGATCAAGCTGCCGAAGCTAAGAAGCCACCGCGAGAGAAGTGATGATGGTCAAGAGGAGGGCAAAATGCAGAAAGCCGACAGCAAGTCTAGAAGCCCGCGAGAGTCGAGAAATGGTCAACAGGGCAGAGCACTAGGGACGACGCAAAAGGCACAGCCGAGCAGCTAGAGAAGCAAGATTGAGGAGTTTGGGAGAAAAAGGCAGAAATAGAAAGGGCCACTCACTGATTGTGATGATTTGAGGAATTCACCCAAGGCTTTGCAAAAACAAGGCCAAAGGCTACAACGAGTCGAAAGGAACTCTCCAAGAGAAGTGCGTGCGAAGAAGAGCTGTTGAGAGTGTGATGAAGAGGAAAGAAAGAAGAAGAGAAGAGGAGGAGAGAAGAAGAGAGGCCTTCTTATAGCTGTAGGAGGGCAGCTGGCAGAGGAGGAGTGATCTGTGGTGGCAGGCACGTGAGGCCAAGTGCCGGGCACCTGCAAATCAAGGCAGCAACAGCGTCACAGATAATGCAAGAATAATATATCAATCAGCTAAAATACGCTCGGATAAGAGTATTGGAGATAAGATTATAAGAGAATAGCTGCATTCACTGAGGTAATAATAAACAGAGCGAGGCGATCCGAGAGCAAGGGATATTGGCAAATCTCCACCCATCCTACACCAGAGTTACACAATAGGATCATCATAGGCCTAAATAAAATAAAATACCTGTGATGTATATTGTCTTCCAGATACAACACCGCTCTTTGTTGCATATGGCCACGGCTAGGTGCGTTGATGCTTTGCTGTTTCTGCAAAGCGGCTTCATGCTTCCGATGGACTACGTTAGTGAATAGATTCGCACATCTACCTAGGTAGTCCAAGGGCAAAAACTTGTTACAAATGCCCGAAGACAATCAGAGGCGATATACACAAAAAAACCACTAAATATTATTTATGTGGATAGTTCGATGCAGAGTGATATAAAGCAAGCGGTGAATACTGCGCTCTCGAAATTGGATAAAGATCAATATGAAAGAAGACTGTAGTCTCTACGAGTGCAGCAGCTTTGCTACATGGAATAGATAAACGTCAAGCAACCGCCGAACCCATATAGTTGCACTTATGTTGCCCCTGCCGTTATGAGATAGACAAAGATGTTTGTTATATATACCTATGCTAACTGCCAGCTGACCCTTAACCAACTACCTGATATCTTGCAATCTTACGCAAAGATGCAAACGTACGTGCTTGCCTATGATATCTAGGGCAAATAGGTAACCTGTCCAACTTCCTATTTCCTACCAAACGCCATCGGAATGCATCAAGAAGAACAAGCATTTGCCGCCATCAACTTTCCCTCAATACCAAACCACATCTTCATGTCCGCCGCCCTCCTAATCTAGTAGCAATTGTCCAGTTTGCGAAATACGTTGAAGTCTTTCATTACAATCCCCAACCCCCCTTGTTCAACTAAAATCGATATCCACCATACTGACCCGGTGGTGGCGCGCTGTATCCTGCAGGAGCTGGGGGCCACTGGCCCGTAGTTCCACTTGTATCAGTGGCTCCGTACGGGAGCGTTGGGTATGCATTTCCAGTTTCTGTCCTTCCTAGAGGCGACTGCCGGTAGACGTTGGAAGCAGGCGCAATTCGTCCATATGGACTGATGGGCCTTGGGAAATCTCCTGAAGCTTGCCGTCCATGAACTGGGGCAGTAAACCGATACTGTCCCCCGGTTTGAGCTTTCCAAGTCCCATAGTCCGGAAGAGGCGTGTCCCGAAGCAGTGAGACCATGCCCTGCGCGCTGAGCCGCTGCGAGTCGTAGGTATGGGCTGGAGGAAGAATGCCCAAGAGGAACGTGATATCTCGGTGAAGAGCTGATGACTGATTGCGACGCTGCTGGTCCAGTCGCCGGCCGGCCGCGCCTTTGAGCGGAGAGCTGCCTCGGGCGAGCCTCTTTGGAGGGTTGAGCTCTTCGTCATCCGGTCCAAGGGGGCGTTTCGGAGACGCAGTGGCCCTAATGTACTGAGGCCGGGGACTCTGTTCTCTCTGTGGGGGGAAGCTGTTACGCGCCGACGCAGGCCGCTCGATGATGGAGGCAGCAAGCCTAGGCCGCATTTGCGTGGCTTTTGAAATGATGACGGGGGCGGCGATTGGGTCAAATTTGTCAGATGAGTAGCGAGCCGCAAAAGTGGTGAGTTTGGGGTCTTCGGGAAATAGTTCCAACATCCTCGCCTCGATTTTGTGGATCTGGGAGAGTTCGCCGTATTGAGACTCATACTTGTGGAAGTAGGCGTAAAGAGGTTTGGCCTTGTGAAGCGTCTCTGGATTGGCGACAAGGCGATTAACGCAAGTCTCAAAAACCACGCGAGCATCTATACGACAGTTAGGTCAGAGTCTGCGATTCCCGAAAATACCAAGATATAGAAGACTTACTCGTTGTATCGTCCTTGGAATGCAAAAACTTCAAGTACTCGACGACAAAGCCTTCGTCGTTCGGAAAGAGGCGGGCTCCACGCTCAAAAATCTTGGCACCGACTGGATCTTTGTACACTACAGATTCCAAGAGAGCGACGGCAACATATACATCACTAGTAAGACGTCCCTTTTGCCGGGCGTCAGTAAAAACTTTGCGCAGCCCCCCATCGGTCTGATTGCCTTTGCCTTGGATGCGGCGAATTGCCCTCGCCATGGCAATCCATACGTATGAAATGGTGCGGGAAAGGAGGTTGGTCTCGGCAGCGTAGCCTTTCTGAATAGCAGAGATGCGCTCCTCGGTAGACGCCTTCTTCAGCGACCCTTGGTCGTAGTCGTCGTCCTCGATTGACTGCTGCACAGGAGCCTCATGTGCTGCCGCTTGCTTGATGGTGGAAATTTCCAGCTTCTCGCGCTCTTTCGCCTTATCTCCCAACGCGTACAAGGTGTTAAGAACATCGTCAAAAGGCTTCCGCACCGCCTTGGCGAATTCGGACTTGTCTCCCTCCCTTAGCGGAGAGGTGGCCTCAATGTGGTCTGCATGCTTCAGAGCAAGCAAAACGCTTTCAGGGTTTGCGGTAATTCCTTGTACCAAAAACTCAGTTCCCAGCTCTTTATCAACGTCACCTATGTCGTTCTGGAGGCACCACTCGGCTGCATCAACCCAAAGCTCCGGCCAGAAGCGCAAAGCCATGAGGGCCTGTTTGTAGCAGTACAGGACCCGCTGCGCGAATACCTTTGGTTCGTCCGTCTTGAGCACCAACGGATCTTCCTTCTCCCATTCGATCCATTTCTTCCAAAGGGCAACCTGGCTACGGAACTCCTGGTCACCTTCAAATCCCGGGGCCGGTGGCAGTCGAGGGAGGTTTGTGCGCTTCAAGTCTCGTGTAATATTATCCAAGGCAATGTTGCCACTCTTGGCAGACATGTATCCAGGAGATCGTTCTTGAATAAACTTGCGGCCCTACTGGTGGATTAGCAGAAGAATACCACGATTCAGAGGATATCTGGACACGTACTGTCACTTTATTGAGCCCCATCTCAAATTGATCATACTCCTTCCATAGGTTGTTCACTGTTGACATGGGGACGTTGATGGCACGATGGTAGGCTTTGCGTAGCTGGTCCATCTTTTGCTGGTCCTGCCAGCCAGTGCCTCCGATTTGACCAGGCCCGCTCTTGATGAATTGAACGTAGTCCTGCCAAATGTTGCCCGAGTCGCGATCAACGCCGATATTGTCAATTACAAACTCGTACGATTGGGTCACAGTTCTTCTGGCCTGACCGGTTGAATCATTGTTGAGGTCATTTCGACGGCGGATATAGTTGAGGTAAACGGTCCAGAGATTGACATTGGGGACGGTCATCAAGCATCGGCCAAAGAGCTGTTCCGCATCGACAAAGTTGTCCATGCCGAGCTCCATCTTGATCCATTCCACCCACACATCGGCCTATGCTTGTGTCAGCCGTGCATGCATATAAAACGGAAGAGAGGAAGGACAGGGTAAGAGGTACTGACCGACTGGGGGAAAACTTCCAGGAACCGATTGTACACCTTGCGAACTTCGTCCAATCTGCTGTTGCGCCTATGGTCGGCAATGAGATTCTCCCAAGCATCCAAGTCGCCTCGAGGATCCTCTTTAATGCGAGCCTCGAATAACGCTACCGGATCAAGGCTAGCCACAGGTGTTGCAGTCACGTTGGGAGGAGCATTAGTGGGAAGAGGAGGGGCTGGAGCAATTGCCATCTTGATCTCAGTGGGCTGACCAACTTGACTCTGCGACACCGAAGGCTCGCCAGGGCCTGCATTGTCTGCTTGGTCGTCTTCGTCTTCGTCGTCGGAGGCTTCCACTAAGAAGCCGCCAGACATTTTTGGCTTGGGGGTGGGACGTTGCGAAAGGACAGCGGGGGCGGCGTTTTCAGGGACTGGAGGGTCTGGGAGAACTGATTCAACGGGGACATATTCGGGATCATAATCCCCTCCATCCTCGGTTCCATTATCCGCTGATTCACCTGACACATGAGAGTCTTGAGCAAAGTTATCAACTTGTTCGTCGCTATGCTGAGTATGATCGCCCTCCGCGGCCGCAAATCCTTCATTGCCCCACGAAGTGCCTTCGGAGGCCATCTTGAGAGGCTTTCTGTATAATTCAACTGGGAGCACCACAGATGGAAACCGATTGGGGGGAGTTGTTTTCGACGATGGGGAGCTGTCAATGGCACACGCAAAAGGAAAGGCAAACTTGACGGGCTCGCTACTGGACAGCGCTGCCAAAGTGCCGCGGCGGTTACGGATCGATCGACCTTGCAAGCTGCCAACTCCTGGTTAATGAAATCCTGCGCAGATGGTGATGATTGAAAGATGCATACCAATGCCACAATGCCAATGCAACGACGAATCCAACGGATAGATGCCGTTTGCGTCACTTACCGGCTGGCAAATCGCGTCGCTCGTGATCAGCGTCGAGGTCGAGGTCGAGGCGGCGCTTGCTCGGGAGGGCGTCGAATCGGTATCAATACAGCACGATAAAGCGGCCGTACAGCTGGGCAGGGCGCAGCAGCGATACCTGGATCAGGGTTCGGGAGCGCGCACCAGGAGCGTGTTTGGCCGAGATGATGCTGTGTCGAGGTGAGACTTGGAGCTCTGAAAATTAAAGTCGCCCAAGCTCCCAATCGGGGAAGGCTGCAGACCAGGCTGGAGTCTTGTCTTGTGAGACAGAGGAGAGGTACTGGCATGTACAGGAGCGAGTACCGGCACGAGGTGGCTACCAGGTGGCGACTAGGGCGGTACGTACCCGTTGGTGAGGCTACCAGCAGCGATCCCAGTCCCAGCGCAGGGCCGCCAAGGTACCCGGAAATAATTCGCTACCAGGCACCTCAACCATCCCACCTGTTGCTGTACCTCCAGGCTGTTGGCCAGTGGCGCCAGTTGCCAAAATCAAATCACAAGCGCCACACAAACCACTTAACGCGAAGCGCTACGGTCGCGTCTCCAGCCGCTATAACTTCAGTTGTTTCAACTTCTTCCTCTCGCAATCTGCCTGTTCAAGTTGAGCCTTTCCTCCCTCAAAGTGCAGCCGTGTCTTGTCCCTTGTCTGCACAAAAAAGCCAGCGATCTGCACGTTCCTTTTGCTTTTGCATCTCACTCTCGGCATCGCCTCTCGCGCAGCTCGACGCATCATCCTTGCCGTTACCGACTCTTTCAGTTCTCTGTTCTCTGTTGCCCCTCCAACGATTTCTGAATTCCTATCGCGGCTTCGACCCAACCTCTCGCGCAGTTTTTCTCTCCGCTGCGTGTTTCAATTGGGCTCCCTCACAGCACGCATCTCTACCTACTCTATTGTCCTTTTCGTGTCACCGTTTGTGAATATCCGCCACCATGTCTGTCGTGTCGCTTCTTGGGGTCAAGGTGGTCAACAACCCCGCCAAGTTCACCGACAAGTACGAGTTCGAGATCACATTCGAGTGCCTCGAGCCGCTTGAGAAGGGTTAGTCACGACCATTCGGCTCCTTCACACCCGTTGAAATATGGTAGCCTAATTCATTGCCTACAGATCTCGAGTGGAAACTGACCTACGTCGGATCTGCCACCTCGTAAGGCGACCCCTCCTCGTTGGGCATCAGCTTCTTTCCTGTCCTGATTCTAACACATCGCAGGGACCAATACGACCAGGAGCTCGACTCCCTTCTCGTCGGCCCAATCCCCGTCGGAGTCAACAAATTCCTCTTCGAGGCCGAGGCTCCCAACACCACTCGCATCCCCGACGCCGATATCCTGGGTGTCACGGTCGTGCTCTTGACCTGCGCCTACGATGGACGCGAGTTTGTTCGGGTTGGATACTATGTCAACAACGAGTACGACTCGGAGGAGCTCAACGCAGAGCCCCCTACCAAGCCAATCATCGAGCGAGTGAAGCGTAATGTCCTTGCTGAGAAGCCCCGTGTGACTCGTTTCGCCATCAAGTGGTCAGTACTTGTTTTTGTGTTCGTCACGCGCCCAGAGCCAGATTCTAATTGTGCGTCATTAGGGACTCCGAGGCCTCTGCTCCCCCCGAGTTCCCTCCTGAGCAGCCTGAGGCCGACCTTGTTGCGGACGAGGAAGAATATGGCGCCGAGGAGGCCGAAGAGGAGGCCGCCGAAGAGGAGGCCGCTGCCAAGGAAAAGGGCGAGGACTCTGAAATGGCGGGCATTGAGAGCGAGCACCAGAACGGACACCACGACCCCGAGGAAGAAGAGATGTCTGAGGATGGCAGCGTTGACATTGAGGGCGAGAGCGAAGACGAACTAGAGGAAGAAGAAGAGGGCGAGGGCGAGGCGGAAGGCGATGACGATGCTATGGAGGTCGACGACGCCTCGGCTGCCCACAAGCCCGTCTCGGTTGTGTCTTAGTTGATGCCAAGACAAAGCATCAACTAAGTTTCCCCAGGTGCGTCGGCGCTGAGCACTTTTATCATTTGCTGCACCGTTGAGACGGGATGATGGAGTTACGAAGACACGATGGGAAGGGATGGGAAGGGATGGGATGGCACCGGTTTGGTGGGAGGGGTGGATAGGCGGCTCGGTATAATTGGTGATATCTTACCCTTGCTCTCTTATGGCAGGAAAAATTACTAGTATATGACGGACATGATGATACCCGCCATGGTGTTGATAATGGATAGAGATTCTGATTAACGGGCATGATCTGGTCTGTCCTCACTGGCAAATCCCCGACGGGCCGCCGCCTTGTCGCCGTGAGTGTCCGTTTCCGAGTTCCGTCATGACGAGTTTGATATGCGTCATTCGATGCGGGAACGGAGCTCTTTTTTCTCTCCGCACTGGACGGATTGCCAATCCATTTTCATGCCAGATCAGAAGCGACAAACTGCTGGCGGGCAAAAGGTCCATAGAGGATTCGGGGGGCTCCGCCTTCAGCCGCACCAAAGCCGCCTTGTCACGCTCAGCCTCACTTTTATTCTCGCCTCACTTCTTTGCATGAACAGCGAAACGACGTCTCTTAACCGCACCAAGACACCGAGCTAAGACGCGAAAGGGGAAAAGGGACAAAAAGGGGACGTCGGTCTTGTTCCCCGGCCCTTGGCTTAAGCCCGCACGTGGTGCGACATTGACGCCCATCAGATCTCACATCACCATCTGTTGCGGATGCAGCCTATACAATGCCAAGGCTTCCAACGCATGTCCCTTTGGCGATGAACGCTTGTGATGTGAGTTCGGGCGACTCCGATGCTTTGCTTTTCGGGGTGCGTCATCGCTACTCGGTGGAGGGAGGCAGCCGAGGTGCGGACAAGAATGATTTGATGCTTGTATATAAACGGCCTGTTGTCAAGATGCTTCATGATATGAGGTTTGTTTTTAAATGTTCGTTTTCCGATACGTCGTAGAATATTTTATATGTATATTGGCTACAGTTTCTATACTAGTTGATAGTCGTACTCTCTCTATATTGACCTATTGCTGCTCATCTCGGCTCCCACCATGGCTGTGCAGCTGCGCAACAACACCAGCCTGGAGTCGCTCGTCAAATCCGTCGAGCATCACCACGAGCAGTACCTCCGCAGCCTCCATACCTTCCACCAAGTCCTCAACCTCCACAAGAAAGACACCACCATCCAAGGCCTCGCAACGACGCCGCCTCTGCGCGCCTTCACCTTTGCCAGCGACGCAAACAGCATCTTGCCCCGTCTTCGCCGCGACACTCCCGACACCCACGAACGACCATCATGTTACCCTTCGCCCAAGTTTCTGCCGCTCACGCCGCATTTCCAGGGGAGCGTGATTCCAGATGACGAGATTCCCTTTATCCCGCTGCTGGATCAGGCTTCTTCCATGCAGGGATCTCGCCCCGACGCAGCGGCCGTTTCGTCGTCTCATGTGCATCGGGCGCTCACTCCGATGAGCTTCTCGGACGACATGTTGCTTAGGCACCTTCGCGACTCGGAGTTTTGCCAAGAGTTTGCTGGTTTGCTGGTTGATGAGGATGAGCCTCTGCGGCCGTGGGACATTGACTCGCCGCAGTCGTTTTGCGAGTTTGCCGCTGTTGAGAGGGAGCGCTTTGGAAGTTCGACGTTTGAGGTGTACGAGGTTGGGGAGGATGCTCGGGCAGTCAAGACGAATGTCGACGTCGATGCGCAGGGTTTTGTCAGATACGTTGGTGATGAATCGCTAGAGCCTCCGGACAACATTGTCGATGCTCCCATCGTGTGGGAGGCCATCAAAGACATCAACACCAGCGGCAAAGCCGTCGGTCGTATCACGTACGTCTCGCCCTTGGTGTCCCCTTTGGTTTTGATATGCTCATGAAAGCGTTTCTCTTCTAGCATCGTCCAAGAACCAACGCCTCTTATGCTCGCCGCCTTGCACCTCACCATGTCACCTCACTTCGACATGACAGAACTCCTCCATCATCTCCTATCCGACACCCCCAACCGCGGCCGAACTCACGCCTTCATGCACCGCGCCTACGAACGAACTCCCTCGGCATATCCATCCTCTCCAATTCTACCGCCTCCATATCCCTCCAACATCATCAAAGACGCTCCCCCCGTCTCCTTTTCCCACCTCCGCCAGCGATCCTTCTTCTTCGTCTTCAAATACTACACCCTCCTCGGCGAGGGTCTAGATCCCGCTCCCTGGCAGCTCTACGAAAAACGCCCTTCGGACAAACGCCTCGGCGACCACATCGACATTGCAGAGTGCGGCTCCGTCCTCGCGCTCTCTCTCGGCGGCGAACCCACCAAGACGCTCAAGATGCGGCCGCGCAGGGAACGAGCCAAGGAAGGCTTCCTCTTCGACACGTTTGGCCCTTGGCAACTGCTCAGCATCCAGAGCTTCCCCGATGACGAGCATACCGTCAGGGGAGACGACTTTCAACTCAAGAGTTTCTGCAACGGGCCGTATGCCTTCTTGGAGCTGCTCATCGCAGAGTACCGCGACGCCGGCAAGAGAAACCAAATCTTGCACGAGCGAATCACCAAACTCATCACCCCTCCTATACGTCTCTTCTCGCAAAAGCCAGTCAGTCATTTGCTAACCTCTTGTCAGACAGAATTCATGTTCGACCACCGCCTCCGCGACAAGCTCCTCTTCGAAGACAAGCACTTCACCTACATCCGCCGCTACTTCTGGGCCTACAACACCCTCGCCGTCATCAACACGGGCATCAAGGCCATGATCGCCGCCTACATCGACACCTTCGTCGACGACTTCTGGGCCGGCTCGCACCCGCTCCTCTGGCCGCACCCGTCGCCGCCGCAGAACCCCGACGCCATCGAGTACGCCGCGACAATGGCCGTCCTGCGCAGGGAGCTCGACAAAGTCGTCAGCGACCTAGGCGAGGTGCTCAAACGGAATGAACGCACAAGGAAGGAGATTGAGAATCTGAGGGACCAACTGTTCAGCGGGAGCTCCATCAAGGAGAGCAGGAGGGCCATTGACCAAGGTGACAACATTCGCATCTTGACCATGATCAGTATGCTCTTCTTGCCCCTGACTTTCGTCACCGTAAGTTGTTTTCTTTCATACCTACTTGCCCTAAAAACCAACATGTCATGGGCAAAAAGCTAACAAGAATCACCTCCACCAGTCCGTCTTTGGCATCACAGAATTCACCATCCCCGTGACAGACTGGCGCTTCCCCCTGACCATGGTCCTCGTCTGCGTCCCCTTCATGATCCTCCTCTACCTCATCCAAACCCGCCCCTTCATCCAGTGTCTCCAAACACTTCAGCGTGCAACCCACGCTTTAACTCACCTTCCCACGCGTCCCCTACGTCTCTTGCTCCAATTCCGCGAACCGGATCCCTCTGCCCAAGACGGCCGCGCCGCCTCCACGCCTTCGTCGCCCAAGACCCGCAAGAGGAGGCTCGTGATTAGGAGGCGAGGCGGAGGCGGTGGTAATGCATCGTGGCGCCGACCTTGGGCCTGGATGAGGAGGGCAGCTGGCGGCGAAGAGAGCGACTTGGGGAGAGTATAACGTATATATGAATACAATACTATTAGACGTCAGAAAGAGAAGGGAATCAGATAAACGATGGCCATTCTTGTATATATATCTCAATTCCAAGTTCACAAATGGCAGTAGATAACATCACATAGAATACCGTAGCAATACCGAGCATACAACTTCAATCATGCTTCCCGCAGCGTATCTGTTTCATTGCCAAGAGCTATAAGAGCAAAAATGATAAAAATACAGGAATAACCAAGACTCATCCAATGAATTATTGCATTACCAACGTGGTCATTATTAACGACAGCCAGAAGAGGAAAAAAAAGAGAAACAAAGACGAACAATTCATCCGCATGATATTTTGGCCACAAAAAAAAAGCTCCTCCCAATTCATGGACCAGCCGTTTGGGGGAAAACACATAATATCGCATCTCTCCTTTCCCATCATTACCAAGGTATATAAATAAGCATCGTTACAGCCCATCCCACCCGCTTCAAAGAGAAACCGTGGCAAAACCTGGAAGCGTACAAAGGCCGCATTACTAGTCGACACTTGAAAAAGGGAAACAAAGCTTCCGTGGTGCTCCATAACGCCCTCTTCCCCCCCCCCTTCCATCCCCCTTTGCATATAGTCATAGTTGTGCAGACGAAATACGCACTTGACGTAGTGACACGTAATAAGTAATGCTGACTGTGCCGTCGTCAAATGGTACCTCACCATCCCTTCTTCCGAGCAAACCTCTTGTTGAGCAATGCAAGGACCTTGGGAACATTAAATTGAACGTATTCCAGGTCCAGTTCGTCCTGGTTATCCTTCTGCATCTCAAGCAGATCATCAAGCTTGAGATCGAGTTCGAGCAGTCCTCGGTTTCGGCCTTGTTCAAAACTCGTTAGCACGCAAAAGACGTTGATGGAACATTGTAAAAAAAGAAACTCACCCTTGTAGTGCAAGGAAATGACAAAGGTGCCTGGTAGCGGACTGGTAAAGTTGAAGTAGATGTTGGCCCGCCTGTTATCCGGGACATTACTCTTCTGGATGACGCCCTCCTTCTCCAATTGCTGATGTGTAAACTTGTAGGGTCCAAGAACCTGCTGCTTCTGCTGCTTCCGCTTAGTGCCTTCGCTCTGTGATCGCACGTTATGAAGGTAGCTCTTGTATGTATCCAGCTGGCCAACCAAGTATGCGTTGTGGTCGCGAATGGTCTTGAAAACTTCTTCGAGCTTCTCGGTCTCGGCAATCACACCGTCTTTCAACGAACCCAAATGTTGAAGCTCCTGCTCCACCTCGTCCCTCAGCAGGTCAAACTGGTCAGCCTTGTCAATGACGCCGAGTTCCTGTAGCTGCGACAGCAGCTCCATGGCCCGGATGCCCTTGCGCACCATGACGGCGTCATTGCGGCTCGTGGCAGCTGCATCTGCGACGCGCTCAAGTCGCAGCGGCCGCCTCGAGACGGCGCTGCTCTGGGGGATGGTTCGCATGATCTGCACAAAGATGGACTTGGCTTCCATAAAGTACACTTCCTCCTGTGTAATATCCAGTGCCGCGGTCAAATCATCAATCGCAGTCTCCCATCTGCTAAACAGGGGAAGGTTGATGACTCGGTTCTCCTTGCGAGGCACTTGTGGAGGGGCCGACGCCAGCTCAGACACAATGATGGACAGGTGAGATGACTCATCCTTGCACAACTCATTGCGATGCTTCTCAATGAGCGAGTGCATGGCGTAGATTTCGTTGAGCGTAATCTCAAGCCCAAGGTCCTTCTTTGAAAGCGCCACATAGTTGTCCATCTCCAGACTTTCGTAAAAGTCGCCAACCTCGCACAGGTCAAGCATGAATTTGTTGATCCTGTCCTTATTCTGCTGGATAAAGGGCTGGAGCTTGGCCATGTAAGGCTCCTTGGAGTACGAGGGCTTGTTGGCCAAGTTCTGGAGCATCTTGGCAATCAGGGTGAGGGTTCGGCGAGGTCGCTCAGCGGGCGTTCCGTCAATGAGCATGTACGACTTGGGGGTCACAATGGCCGGGTTGATGAAGCGCAGGAAGAAGAAGCCGCCGATCAATGTGCAGATGATCTGGTCGTTGGCGTCGGGATACTTGCGCTTTGTCAAGCTCCTGATCTGCTTGCAGATCCAGCGAATGCCATAGGGGGCCTCCTCCAGGCCTTCGATGATGGTGGATAAGAAGCCGTTGGCAATCTCGATGAGCATTGTCAACCGCGGCTCGATGATGGCTTGGACTTGGGGGTTCTCCGCCGCCTGCTCAGCGGTGATTCCCTTTGGTAGGTTTGGCGGTAGCGTGCCGGTATCTTCTTCGATTTGCTCAACCATGCGTTCATAGACCTTGAGGGGGTTGATTTCCAGATCCAGGTCTCGCAGTTCGATCAAGCTGTTGATTCTGTCGGCCAAGGCAATCTTGAGGAAGCTTTGACCGGGGCCTCTTCGCGTATAGGTCGTCATCATGCGGGAGACGGGCGTATTGGCTCGGAGCAGTGAGGAGTAGTCGGGGGTGTTGTCGAATTGATAGGTGAGAACAGACTAAAGGAGAAAAAGAATGACTGTTAGACAGGGGTACGCCATCGCAACCAAGACAAAAGCAACATACTTGGAACATGGTAAGGAGCAAGTGCTCTTCTCGGCTCTCATACTGGTTTCCGTAAATGGTGAACATGACGGTCTGAAGAAGCGAATCGATTTCCGACATTGAGACGAGTCGGCACAGGTGAGCAATGTGTCTGGGCTCGGACTGCAGAAGGAACAAGAGATTTCCGTATTTCTGCGTCTTGTCGTCATTGGGGAAGACGCCTTCTTCCATTTCGGTATCATCAAGATGGCTGGCGACTTCGTTTTGCTGCAAAGGCGTCAGAAGCGGCTCATCGGACAAGCATCACACCGCGTTTTTATGCATACCTCTTCCAGCGCCATGCGGTTCTGGATGAGCAGCGCAATTCTCGAATCAAGATAACGGACGTCCTTTTCGAGAACAAAGTTCTTCTTGGACTGGGAGGAGATTTTGGACTTGAGATCTCGCAGGGCTTTCTGGGCTGTAGACTGGGCATCAGCGGTGGTGTACTCCAAGGGGGGGGAAGGGCAGCGGCACAGGCTTAGTGCATGATGCATTACCTTTAGCGAGATCGTCCTCAATTTGCATCTCTCCTTCATTTGCTGTCATGGACATGTACAGCGCGGACATGGAGTACCGCTTGGACTGGCGCGCCGAGCGCGAGCCATCGTAGGTAGACATTGTGTTTTGCCGTGACAATTGTTGAAAGGAAGAGGTTGACGCAGTGGAGGCTCTCGAGGGGGTATGGAGCATGACAGGCATTATGGGTATTTGGCGCTGTGCGACAGAAGGGAGGGTTGGGCCTTGTCGCCCCAGAACCTCGAATTTCGTCGACAATGAAGGAATCAAATGGCCGTTGTCAAGCGATAATGCTCATCACTCGGCAAAGCGATATTCCAATCGAGATTTGTTTAAGCTGATTAGGTCTTTATTTCATGTGGCTCACGTCGTCGGCGACGATTGTCGAAACAAGGGAGGGGGGATGAGAAACAGAAGACGCAGTGTCGCCAAACAAGGAGAAGGAGAAGAAAAAAAGGTGCAGTCGCTGATGGCACGCTCGTGGTACAATTTGCGTCGGCTTCGGGAGAGCTTCGCAAGCGATATAACGATGGTGTAACGATTCGATCGAAGATGTCTTGTGCAGGTCAACGGGAAAAGGCGTGGACGGTTGGTGATGCCAAAACCCGCTTCCGGGGTCAAGCAGTGCGTGCTGAGCGTTCTATCTCCGTCAAGCAAGAAGAAGAAGAAAAAGAGGCAAAGCTATGCTGATGCCGCATCCAAGACAAGAAAAGAGCAGAGGCAACAAGGCGCGCGTCGAATTCGCAGGAAAAGGGCGAGAGAGAGCTTTCGTGGTGTCGCGCAGCAAAGGCGGGTTAGAAGAGTTGCTGGTGGGAGAGCGACGGAAGCGTCAGGGCAGCGTCACTAGCCGAGCGACACAGAGCAGAGGCAAATTTCGGTTCGACAGATAACGCGCGAGGCAAAAGGTCCAAAGTCGGATGCGAGCAACGTCGTCGTCCAACTATAAACCAATGCTTGCGGGCGACAAGAGGCGAGAGTTGCGGGAAGACACGAGGCACGGCAGCCAGAAGAAGAAGAAGAAGAAAAGGCTTGTGGCTGCGACGGCTGGTGCTGGTGCTGGTGCTGGTGATGGACATCAAGTTCCAAGTTGGCAAAGATGCAAATGTAAGGTAATGCAAGAATAAAACTGGAGCAGCGCGCCTTGTTTGGGAGAGTTTGAGAGGGGAAGCACGGCGCCCAGGGGTTGCCAGCAAGCTGCAGGCGCCAGCCCAATCAGATCAGGCCAGCGGCTCAGGGAATCACCAGAAAATTGAAGTTGAAATGGATCAATAGCATTGGATGGAGAGGCACGGCCGGGTCCCCAACAGGCTAGGTAGGCTAGGTGCCCTTGAGGTACTAGCGATAGGACTCGGGCTCGGACTGGAGCCAGACGTGAAATGAAGCAGACCAGACCAGACCAGACCACAGAGGCTTGATCCAGGCTTGACCCAGGCTTGACACAGGCACGAGCGGGCTTGGTCAGTACCTGGCGCGCCCACCACGTTGCGCAGCAGGCACATGTACATACACGCACATACCCGGACGGCCCAAGGCGCTAAAGTGCCGTACAGCACCGCGGCCCTGCAGTGGTCTGGGGTAGCGCTGCCAGGCCCTGCTCAGGGACATGACGGAGTACCCGCCCGTCTATCGGAAGGGCTGCAGCGACTGCGCACTTGTCAGGGCATGCCAGGGGTATTTCAGTGGGTGGCGCGTGTGTGCCTGTGCCCACCATCACTAGCGGCGAGCCTTTTCTGTTCCAAGTTGCATCCATTCTCTCTCCATCAAACCATGGATGATGCCTTTGTCCACATACGAGTACATTAGTACATTAGTAGTTGAGTGCGTGCCGGTCAACCATTGACTGGTTTAATCAATGTGATTCTGCTGCTGCTGCCCGTCACCTGCATGCAGCCATCCATCTCATCTGGCCCGGCCGGAGCACGCCCTATCACAGCGTCGCATTGCACTTTCTGGCAGACAACAGCGTCGTTGAAGAGCCAAGGCCTCGCGCAGCAGCATGCAGGCGTCAGCGAATGGGTGATCCATGGCGCCATCCCCATATCGTGTGCGACGACGCCGTTCACATCGGGGGGGAGCCTCTGTGCTCCTGTACTCGTACATACTCGCACATGTCAGGTACCTACGAAGCAGAGAAGCAATAATCGTACATACATGGCTTGACGGTCTTAGTCTGGTGTCTTACTATACTATTTACCTCCTCCAACCTTGCTGTCTTGTGGATACAAGGTTTTTTTTTTTTTTTTTTTTTTTTTTTTTTTTTTTTTTTTTTTTGGCTCGTGCTGCTCAGGTCTTTCTCTTTGTTCCCCATCTCTCCCTGCTGTCGTCACAAACTCTCCAAGCATCATCCCACGGCAGAAAAAAGAAGAAGAAAAGCCCTTTTGTCCCAGACACGAGAAAGATAGTTCCGCCTAGCCCTGCTTCCAAAAGGCCGCTAGAGCAAAGAGCATTAGCACGAGTAAGGTGCTGATCCAATGTGCAATCTAGAGGGGCGGCGGGGTAGCACTGCGTGTAGCGCCGAGCCGTGGGCATGTACCTGCTACTCGGAGCGTTGGACGAGAGTTCGCATGAGCTTCGCAGCACTGTGCCCCGTTGCCCAAGTAGCAGTACTCGCATGGTGGCACCGTTTTGACAATTGGGTACATGCGCCTACCAGCATTGAGCGATGATACCCTCAAGGCCTTGCCAACTCTGGCCGCCGGATAAAACAAATGCATCTACTAGCCAACGGCAGCAGCATGGCCCCCATGAAGTTGCACTCGCGCGTAACGGTAGTGCGAGGAATAAGCGAGCCAGCAAGAACGCAAACGCAAACACAGGTTCGGTTCCTCGATTGACGGAAGAGGAAAAGAGAGAGACAGGAAAGGGCTGACACAGTGCTTTATGGCATAGACTGATGCTCTTGTGTCTTGTGCTGTTACAAGTACATACATCACAAACGCCAATGCCCGTCTTGAAACCGTCGACGCTGCGTTTCAGATAACACGCCACTAGTACCGAGTTCTATGCACAATGCGCTTGAGGATGACGTCTGGCCCTCCGCTACTATTAGTAGTTGGAGCATTTGCAGTGTTTGTACTGTCATTGTACAGGAGAGAGAGGCACATGGATGTGCTTGGCATCACAACCGAGAGCGCCATGGAATGCGAGCATGTTCATCCACACGAGCACAGTACGTGTGTACGGCCGCGAGTATCAATACAGGTACGAACGGAGTACCTAATCGAGACTTGGCCCTCCCTTTTCACTGTTACGAACACTGCAGTACGAGTACAGGTACGAGACGAGCCCTCCGTCATGTATCAGCACACACTGATGGCGCTCTGAAACGCACCATTTGCCTGTCACCTTGTCTGGAGTACAGTAGAGTCGAGCGGCATGGGTGAGTGGGTGAGGGCGCCAGGGGCAGGGGCAGGTGGGGGCCTGGGCCCAGATGATTTCGCCCATCTGCTGCGAACGGAGCTTTGTGCGGAGGATAACACAGAAGCTGTATCGATCCAGCCCCCTTGGCGTCGCGGCTGGGGATCACCACGGCAAGTTGCTGTGTACGGAATGCATCGAGGGCTCATCAAAGAGCCCGGGCAGCGCTGAGCCTGAGCCTGAGCCTGAGCCCCTGGACGGGCAGATGAATGGAGACGCAACGGGAGGTTAGGAGGCGCGTCCAAGTGATTAGATGGGTACCTAGTAGGTAAACAATAGATGTCAAGTCTTGCAAAAAGCCGTTTCTTGGTCTATTGGAAATGATGAGCGCCAAACCTGGACCTGGACTGCTAACGGTCTCCCTTGCGTAAAGTGCCCACTTGAAAACTACCCGCTCGTCGGGGGTGTCCCATGACCGCCCAAGTGAGATGAAATTGATTGATCCATGGATGCTTAGCGGCTGCTAGGTAGTGCCAGATGCGGAAAGGGCCCAGGTACGGGATACGGAGTGTCAGGCTCGATATAATTCCCGAGAGGAGAGGCAGAGGCAGAAAGAGTCAATGATGGTCATGGCATCAGAATCTAGACCTAGAAAAGTCCATCCCTCGTGTAGGCGCTCGTACATACGAGTCCATACTACAAGTACAACCACTGCGAATGCGCCATGACGATGATGGCATCTATAAAAAGCCAATCACGACGTGCTATAGTAACCGCGACTACGATTACGTGCATTTGCCCAGACTTGAGCGTCGTCCCCCACACCTTTTTGGCGGTTGGGTCAATGACATGTGCAATCAGACCATCTTCAACACTGTAGAAAGCCAGCGCACAAACTCCGGTGAGACCGCTCCATCTCTACCGAAGTTGACGCATTTTCATGTCATATCATGCGCTTCTCTTCATTGACTGCTCGTACGTCCTTGTCCTCGCAGTCCTTCAATCTCGAGGCATTCCCAGAAGGGCAGGAAACCCTCCCCCAACATCCCATCACGAAGCACGTCCCTCTGCACTGCCCGTGCTCTCTGCCCCTTGTGATCTGCTGGTTGCCGAGTCAAGTTTTTTTTTTTTGCCGGCATGTTACGTCAGAGAGATCAATTTCTCTTGTCGCCTGTCCCTCAAATACCACTAGTAATTGAACACAACACAATAAGACGAGCCCGGCATTGGGAAACCCATACTCGTACGAATACATACTTTCGTTCGTAAACGCACAGCAAAGGCTAATTAGGACAATGCTCTCGGGTTTAGAATACAGGTAAACTATTGGGCTAGTCAATGGGTTTGATGACCGTATCGTGATGCCAGGGGAGATGTGTAGTACAAACCTTGAAGGGACTAAGATTAGACTTTGCAAATTCGTATCACACAAAGGGACAGGTAATGTTTTTTTTTCCTTTTGTCACTTGCTACGCGAGGCCTACACATACCATTAATCATGGAAAAGCTCGTACGGGTAAAGAGAAGGAGTGTTAATCTTGTTGTTGGTGAACTTTATCAACCCTGGCCGGTGGATCCAGGTCTATTGAAAGCCAAAGTTGGTTCAATTTCTTGAGCGGGAGCATGCAGGTGCAAGTGGCACAATCCAACTGTGATGATACTGGTAGATGGTGATGCACCGAGCTCGAGTCCAATCATCCGCACCGGGTAGCAACGCAGAGGAACAGGCTGTGTAAACCAACTGT